TGTCAGAGTTGTCGTTAAGGGGTAAAAGGATAAAATAAAACCAGTCATAGGAAACAGAAGAATATCATACCAATACTGGTGACTCACTCATAGAAAGTTTCATTATTTCCCATAGACTTCCTGTATCAATGTTAATAATTAGGTATATTTTTGATCAAGATAAATAACATTATTAGGAGGAACCAAAAAACATAATTTCAAAGAACTTTGAAAGCTGTCTCATAATTTTAAAAAGTCTGTATTCTAAGGCTATTTATATCTACCAGTTGATTTTTGCAATTGGTTAGTAACCTTTATATATATCTAGACAAATGATTTGCATTTATATAGTTTTTTAAAAGCTCCAGAACAAATGCTAATATATATAGATTTTTTTTTTTTTTAATTTTCAAAGCATTTAAAATCTATTACTGGATTTAAGACTTGGGATTTTTTTCTGTCTGCAAATTCTAGCTATAACAGGGGCTATCTTGATTTTTAAAAGCTCTGTAAATTTTCATTTTGTTGACTTACACCTACATTTTAGTACCTTGTATAGAGAAACAGAAGGCACAGCTCCTTTTTTCAGCTTTCTTCTTATGCCATATGACTCAAAGTCACTTTCTTGAAAATGTTTGGAACACAGTATAGCACCTGGTCCTGGAATCCAAATCTTTTTGCTTCTGGGGTCCACACGATTAACAGCCCTGATCCATTTTGAGCGCTGTATGGTATCAGTTGGAAATCTATGGCAATCAGATTAAAGTTCCATTAACATGAAAACATTATAGTAATACTGCAGTAGTATTTATTATATAAACCCATTTATTATTTTACTGCTTTATAGAAACATAAAGCCGAGTGAATTAAAAGTTTACTTAGTTCGTTTTTCAAAGTTCTTTGATTTTTTTAATCCACAAGTTCAATATCTGATTGTCTATGTCAATCATAGAGGGGCAATTCTCATATTAAAAATCCTACTGTATTTTGTCTTCACTTCCTACACTTAACAGAATCTGCTCAAATTTAAATGGTTAAAGAATATATGACTCTTTTCCTTTCCCGTGGTGATTTTAAACTATTTGGTACTCCTTTTAAGAAGTGGAGCCTGGCCGGGCGCAGCGGCTCATGCCTGTAATCCCAGCACTTTGGGAGGCTGAGGCGGAAGGATCAGAGGTCAGGAGTTCAAGACCAGCCTGGACAACATGGTGAAACCCCGTCTCTACTAAACATACAAAAAATTAGCCGGGCGTGGTGGCCGGTGCCTGTAATCCCAGCTACTGGGAAGGCTGAGGCAGAAGAATCTCTTGAATCCAGAGGTGGAGGTTGCAGTGAGCTGAGATCGCACCATTGCACCCCAATATGGGCAACAAGAGTGAAACTCCGTCACAAAAAAAAGGTGGAGCCTAATTCCCCTCCCCGTGAGTGAGTATGGGCTAGAGTTAGTGATTTGCTAAGGAATAGAAAAAGAACGTGTGACAGTAAGTGACCACAGACTATGTCATAAAGGAACAAGTTTTCCTCCTTGCTCCCTGTAGAGAATGGTTTGCTCTGGGGTAAGGTATCTGGCATGTTATAGGCAGTCCTGTGGAGAAAACTAGTTGGTGAACAACTGAGGCCTCCAGTCAAAGGCCATGTTGAGTTAGTCTTTTTGAAAGCAGGTGACTTCAGCCTTCAGATGACTGCAATCTTATCAGGTACCATAACATCCAGCTACACTCCTGAATTCCTGACCCTTAGAAATGTGTGAGATGTTTATAGTGAATTTTGAGGGAACTTGTTATGCAGCAGTAGAAAACAAGACAAGTATATTTACTATATTCAACTTTTTCATGTTTAAAGGCACTACTTTTTGCTAGGCCTGATTATAAAAATTACCTTGCATTTATTTATTTTTCAATCCAAGCCAAATTATGTTTAGAAACTTGTCGGCTAGGCGTGGTGGCTCACGCCTGTAATCCCAACACGTTGGGAGGCTGAGGCGGGCGGATCACTTGAGGTCAGGAGTTCAAGACCAGCCTGGCCAACATGGTGAAACCCTGTCTCTAATAAAAACACAAAAATTAGCTGGGCATGGTGGCTCGCACCTGTAATCCCAGCTACTAGGGAGGCTGAGGCAGGAGAATCGCTTGAATCTGGGAGGCAGAGGTTGCGGTGAGCCAAGATCGCGCCACTACACTCCAGCCTGGGCGACAGCAAGACTCCATCTCAAAAAAAAAAAACAAAACCAAAAAAAACCCAAGAAACTTGGGAAATTAACACAATAAGAACCACAAAACTACTCTTTCTGCCCCCTCTTCTTTGACTTAGAGACAGATTTATAGGTAACTATGCTTTTTGTGCATTTTAATTTAGACTTTAAGGCACATAGTTACCAGAACTGAGATTGGTATAAATTTTATTTCTCAGTTAATTGCTACAAAAATATAGCAGTGTGGTAAAAGATAATTCTGAGATACTCTCTCAATCACCTTGAGAAAGAAGACTGACTTGGAAAACCTGTTTTTAAGCTTTATAGCTTTAAAAGATCAGAACACTGACCTTTTACCAGCTATATGGTATTAGACACATCTCTCAATCTTAGAACTTCCTCATGGGGCTGTAGTAAGAGTGTATGAGGCTACAAATGTATTCAAAATCACTTTGTAAACTCTAAAGTACTATCCAAAGTTTGCGCTTTCCTAGGAACAACTAATTCCATTTTTGGGATTACAATTTTATTGTTCCAGGATGACGATGATACTTGATCAAGGGAAAATGAACAGGGAATTCTTTTTCCAATAAGGTTGGAGCAAATCTATCTTTTTTCAGAGTTATTTTTTAACTCATGGAACATATTTGCAAGGGAGCTTTTCCACAGATTTGGTATAGTCTCTAAATGTGCAAGCAACCCTCAAAAGTTGGCTGGTCCAACAACTTCTATTACTAGCGTGGTCCTCTGATGCAAAGCTTCCCAACTGGTATGCCTAGTGAGTACAGCTGTTGATATTGGCCTGGGACACCTGAGTAGTTACTTCAAGGCAGCCCCAGAGAGTGCTGCAGGTTTGCCCCCAAAGTATTGAACAATTATTTCCTATGCGTAAAATGCTATGAAAAAGGCTGGGGCTGGGCAGGGTGGCTCATGCCTGTAATCCCAGCCCAGAAGCTGGAGACCAACCTGGGCAACACACTGAGACCTCTTCTCTACCAAAAAAAAAAAATAGCCGGGGTGGTGGCCTGTGCCTGTAGTCTCATGAGGCTGAGGTGGGAGGATCACTTGAGCCTGGGAGATAGAGGCTGCGCTGAGCTGTGATAGTGCCACTGCTCTCCAGCCTGGGCAACAGTGAGACCCTGTCTCCAAAAAAAGGAAAAACAAAAAAAAAAAAGAAGAAAAAGGTTGGGAAATATTGTAGTCTAACTAGCATAACTAGTTTTGAGTTCTGGAAAAAATTAAATTGGTAATAATACCATTTTTAAAGCATTTACCTTGTGCTCTACGTATGCTATAAAGTCTTACGTTTTGGTTTTACAAAACTCTACAAGGCAGGTTTTTATTCCTCTTACAGAAGAAGAAACCAAGACCCAGAACTAAGTACAGAGATCAGTAAATAATCAATTAAAATTTGAATTCATGTCTCCCTAGTTTAAAGCTACCTCTATCACAAGAAAAATCCCAAATCAATTATCGTCTCACATACAGAATGAATTGGTTCACACTGTTAACAATTTAGGTGGAGGGATCAGCCTTATTTAAAACATAAAAAAAAAAAAAAAAAAAAAATCAATGAATTTGATACACAGCCTACCATACATAATCCAAACTCCTTAACCTGGCATTTAAATTTTTTAAATGACTTGTCTCTCAGGTACTTTCCCATTCCTCTATATTTGCACTTTCTATCCTTTACATTTTCCCATGCCATTCCTAACTACCCTCTTCCTAAACCCATTTTCCAACCATAAAGTTCTTTTCGATCGTTCCATAAATCTGCTCCTTTTGTCTGGGATGATCTCTTTTACCCACTTTTCTACTTGCCGGTACACTCTGAATACTGATTTGAATGACCTATAGCAGTCTGAACCATGGATAAGTTCAGATAAGACTGGTCTGAAATTCTTCCCCACTGTCGAGCCAAACGAAACTTCCCCATGATCAAATCCAACCAGAATCGGACCGGCCTTGTAGAGCTCGGCTAATAGCACTTAAGAACTTTCAATGTCTGCCAGTACAGGAGAAAACTGATCTGTACTCGTGCTCAGGAACACGCCACACACTTCAACCGTTGTCCCAAACTGCCTTCCCTTCCGGCCTCCTCACTTTAAATAATAAGACCATCCAATTAATGGAGGACTCCTTTCGCGTAACTCTCGCTACAGCGGTAAGCGGTGCGAGACCCGGCTACAAAGAGGTAAACACTGAGCGAAGAGAGAGAACCTCAATTCTCACAGTGCCCCAACTCCGCTCCCACGCCCCGACGCTGCGCACGTCACGTCACGTCGCGTCACATCCACTGCACGACCCACAGTGCGGCCCCGCCCCGCCCCACGCCGCGCTACGGCCCGCCGGGCCACGCAGGGAGTTCGAAGGCTCCGAGGCTGCTCCCATACGCACTGGTGGAAGGAGAGGCCGCGCTCCCGGCTGAGCACGGTGTCACGGGTGCTGCAGCCCACTGCGGAGCAACTTCGGGTCATCTTCTTGTTACGTGGGGCCCCACCTTCGGGGTTCCCGCGACAGCATGAATCACGACCACTTTAGCTCCGCCCGTTGACTGCGGCTACGACCTTTATTTGTCAGGAAAGGCGGGCTTTAGAGGCGCGGGACTTCCACACTTCCTCTCCGAAGGCCCTGCGCCGGTACCGTAGCCAATCACAGGCCACGTTGTGTCGCAGCAGCCAATCGGAAGGGCCTGAGCCTGAAGACGTGCACTTGACCCCTCCTCCTTCCGTGTTGGAGGCCCAATAGTGGGTTTTGCTGCCACCGGTTCATTTTCCTTCTGTTTTCACCCATTCTGGCACAATCCGCCGCCATCGTCGTTCTTTGTGAGACCGAGCCTGAAAATGCGAAGCAGAGAGGCAGGATCAAAATTGAGACGAATCCGGGAACCTGCCAATGGGTCTCCGGATGCGTTCTCTGAAACTGGAGGATATCGGGAGGAAAGGGTATGGAAAAGAGATAAAACACGGTGCCCTAGGTATGTTGAAGACAGAGTCGGGCCCAAAATACATGATTTACTGAGATGCGTGTCGTGTTCTTGCGCTTTATCTTGTAGCTCTCCGATGCGGAGATAATGCGGAAACTCTTGGCATGGTTGGCTGTAGGTACCTGATACGGGAGGAGCGGGAGTCAAACAGGATACGCCGACTTTTAATTCGAGGAACCCTTTTCTGAAACACTGCCACAATGAAGGACATAAGGTAAGGTTCTTGGGGCTCGTCATTAGTAATAGGGGCAGGGGACAAGGGGCAATTAAGTGGTTTTGGTTGGGAATGAGGCGTTATGGATAGCTTTCAGGAGAAAAAGCTTAGAACAATGTCTTAGTTATAAGCCCTTATGTTTGAGGAAGAGCTTCAATTTGCTTAGAAGGAAACAGGCAGTGTGTTTTTGTCTCTGAGGAGATCCTTAGCATACAGAAAATAGAAGGGTTTGCAACTTTTCCGTTTCTTTGTATAGCACACAAAAATAATTCCAAATATCCAGGCCTAACAAGATTGCTTCTTTTTCCCCTTTGTGTTTACTTTGTCCTGATTACAGCCGAAAAGACACATATTAAGGTATTATTTATTCACACCAGTTTTCCACTAAAATATGTTTATGTCTTCTTTGGATGGAATTAATAGCTTTTGATTATGGTTCCTTAAAAGTCACACGGCCTAAGGATAGTCAAGGAACTTTGGAAAAATTGGTCCCTGGGGGATGTGCAGGGAAAATACTTTTTGGCTGTAAGATGTGTGCAGAGAGTAGGAACTGGATTTAAATACTGTAAGTTGGTTGGGCTGTTGGAGCCTTTTCATACTCAACCAATTAAGACCTGAATGAGGCTGAATAAAAATACATTGTTTTTAGCTGTCTTTGAGGAAAAAATCAGTTGCCTTGTATTTTTGTAACAGTTTTATTCAGATATAATTCTCATACCATACAACTAACTGGTTTAAACTGTACAATTCAGTGGGTTTTAGGATATGCACAGAATTGTGCAATAGTCACAATCAATCTTAGAACATTTTCATCACTCCAAAAAGAAACCTCATTTTTTTTTTTTTTTTTTTTGAGACGGAGTTTCGCTCTGTCGCCAGGCTGGAGTGCAGTGGCGCGATCTTGGCTCACTGCAAGCTTCGCCTCCCAGGTTCACGCCATTCTCCTGCCTCAGCCTTCCAAGTAGCTGGGACTACAGGCGCCGGCGACCACACCCGGCTAATTTTTTGTGTTCTTAGTAGAGACGGTTTTCACCATGTTAGCCAGGATGGTCTCGATCTCCTGACCTCGTGATCCACCTGCCTCGGCCTCCCAAAGTGCTGGGATTACAGACGTGAGCCACCGCGCCTGTCCGAAACCTCATTCTTATTAGCAGTACCTCCAAATATTCCCCCACCCCGCTTCAGCAACCACTAATTTACTTTCTGTGTGCCCATGCCTGCTCTGTACACTTCATGTAAATGGAATTATAAACTAATATATGGTCCTTGTGATTGGCTTCTTTCACTTGGAATGTTTTCAGAGTTCATCCATCTTATAGCACGTATCAGTACTTTATTTTTTATTGCTGAATCGTATTCCATTTTATGGATGTAGCAGATTTTGTTTATCTGTTCATCAGTTGGAGGGCATTTGGGTTTTTCCTTTTTTTTTTTTTTTTTTTTTTTTTTTTAATTGTTAGGAACATTTGTGTACAAGTTTTTGTGTGGACAAATGTTTTCATTTTCCTGATTACACACCTAAGAGTGAAACTGGTGAGTCATAAGGTAACTAACTGTGTTTAACTTCTTGAGGAAGTGCCAGATTATTTTCCCTAGTAGCTGCAACATTTTACATTCCCACCAGCAGTGGATGAGGCTGTCAGTTTCTCCACATTTGTGGTGTGAAGTGACTGTCTCATCGTGGTGTTTACCTTTTCTTAAGGACTCAAAATTTGTTTGCAGATACAGGCCTTCACTTGCCATTTTCTTAAGGTAGAGTTGAAAAGTACTGCTGCCAGTTCATCATCTGAATGAGGGCTGTTTTCTTTCCTGTTTAATTGGATTGTAACTATTTGCCTTTCCTAAAGTTGAAACAGTGTGCTTCCACATTATTCTGACAACATTCCTTTATTATATTCAAATCAGTTTCTGAAAACTGCTTTTATTAGAACAGATTTACTTAAATGAAGGCAATAGCCGCAAGGGGTTACTGCTGTAGATATTTACTTCTGGATAGGAAATAAGTAATCCTATCTTTACATTTGTTTATAACTTATATATGCTTTTTTTGTTGTTGTGATTGTTTATTTTATTGTTGACATTGAAGTTCTCAATTTGATCCTTTGGTTATATCGTTGCTTCTTCTAGTAACTTCATATCCAGTGATTAAACCTTTTCACTGCTGTTCACATAATGAACTGTTGTGATTATTGAATACTTAAATGAGGATATGTAAGCTGTATTAAAGATAGTGTTATTTGCAAAGGCATTGACTATTGCACAAAAAATTTTAAAAGAAAATATCTCTTTCCAGGAGTCATGCTCAGAGATGTCAGGAAAAGATACATGGGTCTTGGAAGATAATTACTCAAAATATGCAGGGGAAGGTAGTATATTTTTCTATTCTAAATGTGTTAAGTATTCCTGGAACTATAGCAGTGAGTTGGAAATGGAGGAATGTCCAAGTAAAAAACATTTATAAAGGATTTGATGAAATCTAATTACCTATTTTATGGTATAGAATCTTATTAATTGTCCACTTGGAAAGAATAATAAATTATTTATTGGCCCATTACTATGGGCCACACATTATGCTGAGCTTTTTATTATTTATTTTATCTTATTTTTTTGAGATGGGGTCTCACTCTGTCACCCAGGCTGGAGTGCAGTGGCGCAATCTCAGCTCACTGCAACCTCTGTCTTCCAGGCTCAAGCAATCTTCCCACTTCAGCTTCCTAAGTAGCTGGGACCGTAGGCATGTACCACTACACCTGGCTAATTTTTTTTTGTATTTTTGGTAGAGACAGGGTTTTGCCGTGTTGCCCAGGCTGCTAAGCTTTTTATATAGAGTATATAGAAAGAGTTGGTTTTCTTAAACACTGTTTATTTCTTATAATAGCTATGAAAGCAGATACAGACTTCTTGCTTTCTAGGGTTGGTATCTTGCTTGTTGAGCACCTACCCCTTTTGTCTTGCCAAATTTTTCATTGTTTGAGTTCTGTCTTTTGTTTCAGAAAGCCATGGAGTTTTGAAATTATTGTTAAATCATTATTTGTTACATAATTATTTCTACTTCTGGAATCTCATGCTAACTTGGAAGTGTCTTCTCAGCATCAAGCCTGATATGGAGGGGCAGCTACACCCTAATGTACTCCAAAACTAGTTATGCTTTGTTTTATACGTAATGCTTCTATTATTAGACAAGTGGTTTCCAACTATTAGAAGCAGTGCTAAGACTTCAAGGAAAAGGGGGAGTGTTTTTTCTTCTAACAGAACTTTTGAGCAGTGATGAAAGGAAAACAAGAAGACTCAAAAGATTATAAATCTTGGCATGAATTAGTATTCTGCCAATTAGAAACATTCTGATTGCCTGACAAGGTCTATTGCTGATGAGGAGTAGAAGCCTGTGGGAGGTGGGGGTGGAAGCAGCAGAAGGGAAAGACAAGCAAATAGTAAAATGTATTCATCATAGTGGATAAAAATCCACTTTGGGGGAAAAGGTCAAACTCCTTTAATGGTGCTGTACATCTGTACCTTTACTCCATCCTATGGCAAATATTTGTATAACTGCACAGAAGAAATTGGACAATATTCGTTGAAATATTCATAGAAAGTTCAACTTTCCAAGTTAGTACCACCCCAAGGAAAATTATATGAGTAGGGATACTTAATTTCTAGCCATACTCTAGTTCTAATCAGCTTCTCTAAGTAGCTGGAACTGCAGGCGTGTGCCACCACACCTGGCTAATTTTTTGTACTTTTGGTAGAGAAGGGGTTTTGCCATGTTGCCCAGGCTGGTAAGATTTTTATATATAGTATAAAGAGTTGGTTTTCTTGGCCAGGCATGGTGGCTCACACCTGTAATCCCAGTACTTTGGGAGGCTAAGGCAGGTGGATCACCTGAGCTCAGGAGTTCAAGACCAGCCTGGCCAACATGGCGAAACACCATCTCTACTAAAAATACAAAAATTAGCCAGGCGTGGTGGCATGTACCTGTAACCCCAGCTACTTGGGAGGCCAAGGCAGGAGAATCACTTGAACCCAGGAGGTGGAAGTTGCAGTGGGCCAAGATTTGCCACTGCACTCCAGCCTGGAACAGAGCACGACTCCGTCTCAAAAAAGAAAGAGTTGGTTTTCTTAAACAATATTTATTTCTCTTAATAACCCAATGAAAGTAGATACAGACTTCTTGCTTTTTAGGGTTGGTATCTCACTTGTTGAACACCTACCCTTTTGTCAGATGCATAGCAGGTTAACAAAGTCGATAAAGTGATATACTTGACATTGTTCTGGGTTTTTTTCCCCAATTATAGTAAAATTGGAGGTCTTAACTGTTCTACATTAGATAAATATACGCATTTGTTTTAAAGAGCTAAGCAATGAGAATCTTATGAGTAGAGCTGAAGTTCAAGAAATAAATGTCCAATGATTAAACTTTTTCCACTGCTGTTCACATCATGATTTGTTGTGATTAATGTATGTGGATGAGGACATAATAGAAAAAGAAAATGGTGAGGCTTGTATATATTGTGTTTCTGCACAATGAGTTCCTTTGAATGTTTTTCGTTTTAGGAATAAAATTGAAGGGTGTTTTTCTTAGAGAACATCATTTGTCATATTTATTTGATCAAGAAGTTGAAGATTTATGTAATAAGGTATGGGACTTACACATTTATTTTGATAAAAGAACACAAAAAAGGTCAGGTATGAGTAGAAAATTCACATTTATTGAGTCTAATGTGGATACTGTACTCTGAATTAAAATTTTCTTTTTGTTACTCTTCCAGCTTTTAAAGATAATAAGTATTATTTCAAAATAGTATTTTTTAAATTAATAGATTCAATTCAGGAAAGGCATTGGAGGGGGTGGAGCTTTTAACTTTGACAGTCTCACTCTGTTGCCCAGGCTGGAGTGCAGTGGCACAATCTCTGCTCACTGCAATCTCTGCCTCCTGGGTTTAAACAGTTATTGTGGCTCAGCTTCCGAAGTGGCTGGGATTAGAGGCGCATGCCACCATGCCCAGCTAATTTTTTTTATTAAATAGAGACCAGGTTTTGCCATGTTGGCCAGACTGGTCTCAAACTTCCAGCCTCAAGTGATCCGCCTACCTTGGCCTCCCAGAGTGCTGGGATTATAGTCATGAGCCACTGCACCTGGCTGTTGGTTATCTTTTCTTAGAAATAATGATGTAATCTTTTCAGCACCTGAATTCTTAAAGATCCAGGGTTTACAAATGACTCTTAGATATGTCAAGGATGACTATCCTATAACTTAAGGAAGTCAGGAACAGTAGAAAAGAAGGTGATAGGAAACTAGGAATCTTAAAACTAGTTCTGTCATTAATTAGGCTTGTTATTGTGGGTATTTCTCAAATTTAAGAAATATGAGGGGTCTTGAAAAAGTTCATGGAAAATGCATATCATGAAAAAACTGCATGGATTTCAAAATTTTTGGACCAAAATAAACTCCTACTAACTTGTTATAACATGTTTGAACAGGATCTAGTTTGAAGCACTAAGAAGAATAAGACATCAGTTTGAGAAGAGGCTCTATCAGAGCAACACGAATTCTGCTAAAATTGAAGGAAGAACAAACATCAAATATATGTTGACACTTGGGTGGAAGAATGGTGAGCTAATTGATGCTTTATGAAAAATTTATGGGGACAATGCTCCAAAGAAATCAGTTTACAAATGGATAACTCGTTTTAAGAAGGGATAAGGTAATGTTGAAGAAGAAGCCCACAGTGGCAGATCATCCACATCAGTTTGTGAGAAAAAAATTAGTTCATGGCATAATTGAAGAAAACCAACAATTAACAGCAGAGATGACAGCCAACACCATAGACATCTCAGTTGGTTCACCTTACACAATTTTGACTGGAAAAGTTCAGCAAACTTTATACCCGATAGGTACCAAAACCACTGCACCCAGATCAGCTACAGACAAGAACAGAACTTTCAATGGAAATTTTAAATAAGTGGGATCAGGATCGTGAAGCCTTTCATTGAAAAATTGTAACAGGAGATGAAACATGGTTTTACCAGCGCAATCCTGAAGACAAAACACAAAGCAATGTTACCAAGATAAGAAGTAGTTCAGTCAAAGCACAAGTGGACTGGTTGAGAACAAAGGTCATGGCAACAGCTTTTGAATGCTCAAGGCATTTTGCTTGTTGACTTTCTGTAGGGCCAAAGAATGGTAACATGTGCTTATCATGGGAGTATTTTGAGACACTGAGCCAAAGCTTTAGCAGAAAAATGCCTGAGAAAGATCAGAGAGTTCTTCACCACAACAATGTTCCTACTCATCCCTCTCATCAAACAAGGGCAATTTTGCAAGAGTTTTGATGGGAAATCACTAGGTATCCACCCTACAGTCCTGGTTTGGCTCCTCCTGACTTTTTGTTTCCTAATCTTAAAAATTTTTTTAAGGGAAGTACATTTTTCTAAAGTTAATGTAAAAACACTGCATTGATGTGGGTAAATTCCCAGAACTCTCAGTTCTTTAGGGATGGACTAAATTTTATAGCTGGTATCATCACTTACAAAAGTGTCTTGAACCCTATAGAGCTAATGTTCAGAAATATCGTTTATATTTTTATCTTTTAATTCCATTTTTCTACAAACTTTTTGAAGTCTCCTTGAATATGCACCCTTTATAAAAGGGAAAAATTCTGTGACTAATGTTGACTTAATGCTGACTTAATTTTCTATTTTGTAAATATATACAAACGTAAAAGTTGATACAAATTTTGTTCATAGCCCTTAACAAACAAGTTTGTGAAATAAATGCATTCAGAAACAAACTAAAACATTAATGAAATGGATGCTACTGTTTTACTGAGGTGTAAACATAATACTGGCTGCTATGGAAAAGTTACATAAACAGTCATGTGCCTTGTGATGATTGTTTTGTCTACAACTTCGCTCTTTGCAGACCGCAAGACTATTGAAATGAGGGGAAGGGATCTGAATTCCCGAAAGAATGTCAAGTGGGCATCGAGGCTTATGCCTATAATCCTTGCACTTTGGGTGGCTAAAGCAGAAGGATCCTTTGAGGCCAGGAGTTCCAGACCAGTATGGGTGACAAAATGAGTCTCTGTCTCTACAAAAAAATAAAATAAGCATGGCCATGTGCCTATAGTCCTAGCTACTTGGGAGGCTGAGGTGGGAGGATCACTTGCACCCTGGATGTTGAAGCTGCAGTGAGCTGTGATCATTGCCACCACACTCCAGCCTGGGTGACACAGCAAAAACCTGTCTCTAAAAAAGAATGAGAATATCTTTGTGCTATGAAATCCTAATTTGAAGAATTCATCATTAAATTCTCTCCAAACATTCTTCTAGTGAGCAATTCAGTTTTTATTTGATTCAGGATTAGGCTTGGATAGTAGTTAACGAAATTGGATTACAACTGTTTTGTGAACTAGAGTTTTTTTTTAGATACAGGCAGTCCTTGCTTTGCAAAGTTCCAATATGTATAAATGCCAGTTACCACAATTAAGTTAAATAAAACCAGTCCAACAATGTGGTTAATAATTCCATTACCACAGTACTGAGAAAACTTGCATAAATTTTGCTGCTAGCTCTTTAGTCCACAAATCGTTGTGCCCCCCACCTCCGCCAAAAAAAGGTGTGCATCATGATCAGTGGCCAGTTACGTTCTTTCAAAGTTTGTTGGTGATTTGTTACTGATCCATCAGTTCATGCACAGATAGCAAAGCACAAAGTGCATAGTAGTGTTGCCTCCGTGACCCCAGAGATTAAAACTTGTGACCATTTACAGAAATGGATAATCAAAATAGGTAATTGGTCAACAAAGGACAGGGCAGCAAAGAAAAGTGATAACGCTGGAAGTGAAATTGGATGTGATTAGAAGATTTGAAAGTGGTGACAGCAAAGCAAAGATAGGTTGAGACCCAGACCTGCATGAAGCTGTAATACAGGCCTATTGAAAAAGTATGATAAATGTAAAAAGGTAAACTTGCTTCAACGTCTTTCAGTTTTAATTGCACTAGGAACAGAAAGCTGCTTGCGGTTGAAATGGAGCATTTACTTGTTTGAAGACTAATCAAAAACAAATCCCAATCAGTTTGACTAGCATTCAGGCCAAAGTGATAACCTTAGTTACTGCGTTGAAAGAAAATATATTACTACCAGTAAAAGCTGGGTTCATTATTTCAGAAGTTGGCGTGATAATGTTAAGCTATCTTATGAAGCTGCAAGCTTCAGATGGAATGTTACAGAAGATGTAGCTGACTGGGAATGTTGACACTGCTGCTGTTCAAGAGGCAGGATCTTGCTTTAGCCACCCAAAGTGCAAGAGTTGGCTTTGAATGCTAGGTGTAATGAGAAAAGAACTTGTCTAGAAGTTAGGAGACCTGGGTTGAATCCAGTTTCTGGTAGTTTAGCAAGTGATTTTCCTTTGGCTTTACCTCGCTGTAAAATAATTCCTCCCTAAACTAAAAGTACACCCAGGCAACGCATCTAATTAGATTTGAAGCTCTGGGGAAACTAGTAACAGCGGAAGGCGAGTGCTACGGAGTCTCAATACCATGGGATAGTAACAAGTATGAAAGGGTACTAATTGATAACACCGTAACACCCCATCTATGCCTCTCTGTCCACAATAGCCTTTGGGTATGCCCAGATAGTTTCGCTTTGTGTAAGTTCTCAAAATGCCAGAATGTGTAATCAAGTGGGTAATTTTAAGAACTCAGTCACAAATTACAATAAAGCTCTTGCAGCCCAATTTTCCACGTGGTTTGGCTTGGGCAGTGTCGCCAGGGGCTGCAGACACCTCACAGGACTAGTGCTACGTGGGGTTCCTGCGGACCACAGCGGTTATTCGGCCGGACGGAGACCCTCTGCACTACTCCTTTACCTGCTAGTCCTGGCTACCGCATCCATATTCTGCGCGCCGCCCCTCAGAAAAGGGTTTCTACATTCGCGCGGGCGCGAAGACCGCAGAGCGCGCCCAACCCGCAGAGCCATACCCTGCACCCCAGCCTACCGCCGGTCCCGGAAGTGCCGTGGCGGGCCGTGCGTCGGGGTGGGCGGGGAGAAATGTCGCTCCCGGAAGTGTTGGGCGGCAGGGCGTGGCTGCGGCTGCGGCTGCCACGTTGGAACGGAACGTGGAGGTGGCCCTGGCCCGGGAGGAGGGGCGGCGGCGAATGCTGGGAGACTCCGACGGGCGCTGCACTAACGCAGGATCCGGCTGCTCAAGGTCCTTGCCAGGTGTGTCCACCCGTTGCTTTTTGTCCTCTTCGCCGGTCCTTAAGCCTTGAGGTAAAGCCCAGGCCAAAACTGGGACCGCAGCCTGGGTCTCCGCTGCCGCGCCAGCCTGAGGCCCGGTCTCTGGTGACGGCGCGCCCCCAGTCTTGGTTTCGGGCCCGGCGGAACAACGCCTGGCGTCTGGACTCCTTCAGTGATCGCGCCCGTCCGCATCCGCCGACGTCTCCACTGCTGAGCAAAAGCCACCCGAGGCTGGCGACGGTGTCTTGCCGGGGAGTCGTAGCCGGGCTGGTAACTGGAGTTTGAGGTTAGGAGACTTTCAGACCCTTGTGCACAAAGAGGTGCGGTCCCCGAGGGTGAGGAAAGGAAAAAAATCTAAGGATTACTTTGGTTGACTTTAGTTTGGTTAGGATTTGTTTGTTTGTACTTGAACTGTTGCCAGATTTATAGTTAAAGGTTCATAGGTTTGAACTGACGTCTACTGTCATTTAACTAGGATTGGATTATTTTAAGGACAGTGGTAGCCAGGAGCAGCCTGTACTTTGAGGGCAGTCTCATTAAGTGTTACATGTTTTTACTAATAAGTTGTTAAATTACGGGGCTGTTGTAAAATAAACCAAAATATTGCCTGGACTTGTGGGCATTATAAAATTTTCCTTGCGCTTAAGGAACTAATTTTACGTAGGGCTTTTTGCAGTTGCAATGATCTGATAGTCTGTGACAAATCCTTTCTCCTATTTTTTTCTAACTATAGAAAACTGAAATTTGGTTGTCTTTGTGGGCAGTTATAACTGTATTTAATCAGTAAAGCTGTGTTCTTGTTATAGCGTCTAGCGTTTTCTGTACCTCCGATTATTCAAGGGTTGGCAAAAGCTTACTCTCCTTTTTTGTTTTTGTTTTGTTTTTTTGTTTGTTTTTGTTTTGTTTTGTTTTGTTTTTTGAGACGGAGTCTCGCTCTGTCACCCAGGCTGGAGTGCTGTGGCGCGATCTCAGCTCACTGCAACCTCCGTCTCCCGGGTTCAAGTGATTCTCCTGCCTCAGCCTCCTGAGTAGCTAGCTGGTATTACAGGCGCCCGCCACCACGCCCGTCCAATTTTTGTGTTTTTAGTAGAGACTGGGTTTCACCATGTTGGTCAGGCTGATCTCGCACTCCTGACCTCAAGTGATCCGCCCGCATTGGCCTCCCAAAGTGCTGGGATTACAGGCATGAGCCACCACGCCCAGCCTACTCTCCTTTAGTGGTTCTTCTGTGCTTCTTGTTTCTCAGTATTCCTTAATTACAGCTCAGGGAGAGGTTTGTAGACTCCAAGAACTTTTGGATAACTCGTGGTGTTTCTGTAGTTTTGTAGTGATTTTATCTTACATACGTCCACGGTTATTTGTGAAACTTGAAATTTAAGGTAGATTTAGAATAATATTGCTTAATTTTATATAGGCAAATTATTTATTGAAACTAATAACGTGGGAATAGAAATAAATTTGTAAACTGTGAAGAGCAATGATTCACAATTTTGGGGGGATTTCACTGTCTTATGGGAATCTAATGAAAGCATTGGAAGAATGCACATATACCCACGTAGGATTTTCTTTTTTTTTATTTTACTTTTTTTTTTTTGAGACAGGGTCACTCTTTGTTGCCCAGATTGGAGTGCAGTGGTGCAGTCATAGCTCACTATAACCTTGAACTCTTGGACTCAAGAGATCCTCCCTCCTCAGCCTCAGAAGTAGCTAGGAATATGCACGTGGCGCACGCCCAGTTAATCTCTTATTTTTTATAGGGATGGGGGTCTCACTACGTTCCCCAGGCTGGACTCAAGCTCCTGCTCTCAAGTGACGTGTAGGATTTTCTGTGTACATAATATTATGAAGTTTACAAGTTAAAAACTCCTGTAAAGGGATATTACTAGATTGATTTACATTGATTACATTGTTTTTAGAAATGTCATTAGGTTAATTTCAGCTCAAAAAGTTTTATTATACCTAAGATTAATATGACACCAATTAGTTCAGTAACCAGTGCACAGTTACTTTCTCCTTTGATTTGGTTTGGGTTGAGTGAAATGAACCTAGGACATTGAAAATAATCAATCCTCTGAACAATTGTTTCTATCCATATTGAGATATTTTGCCCACAGAAAATGGATTTTTACTAAAAGCAATGCCAACTAGGGATTGTATACCTGGTTTGGGAATCAAAGTTCCAATTCTATTACCTCTTTAACTTTTTACTTGCTTTCTGAGGTATGGGTCAGCTTTATATAGCATTGTAAGGTTGGTACTTTTCAACATTTTCAACAATTTTAGTATTGCTAAATACTTAGCAACAATTTTAGTTACTTTTTTTTTTTGAGAAGTTACTTACTTTTCAACAATTTCAACAATACTAAATACTTTTAGTATTTAGCAATACTAAAACCCAAGTGCTGTTGGGTTTTAGTATTGCTTCAGAAAATTTACATTTTGAAAATGAGCAGAAAGAAAAAAGTTTCCACCTAATCGAATGCAATTATCGAGAGAAAGTTGCATGAAAAATAAGAGTTCTAGTCTGGAATATAAATATTCCTCAATAAATCTTTTTTTTTTTTCTGAGACAGAGTCTTGCTCTGTCTCCCAGGCTGGAGTGCAATGGCATGATCTCGGCTCACTGTAAACTCCGCCTCCTGGGTTCAA